ATCTTCCAGGATCCTTCTGATTTTGTAGGGGTCAGAGCAGTGAATTAGAGAGAGACATAATGGTGATCACTATCGCTGCATCCTTTAGGTCTTTAAAGATGACATTTATCTTTGCCATTCCCTGATTACTAATGAGGCTGGGCATCTTCTAACATATTTATTGACTTTTTTCCTTTTCTTTGAACTCCCATAATTCATATCATTAGCCTTTTTAGATTGTTTATCTAGACCTTGGCACTCACCTTCATTAGACTTCGAACTTCTTGGGGCCAGAGACTATGTCTTACTTGTTCCTGTGACCCTTGGATCTGGCCCGTAAGAACTCAAATACGCACTGAATGAGTGATTCTAACAAGAAGACAGAGCAGCATGTGATTGGACATCCTGGTCTTCTTGAATCTTGAAACTAACCTCCTTAGCTTATGGGTAAGCCTATCCCTGACAGCAATTATATCACTTTGGTTGATTTAAAAGAAAATACAATGTCATCCAGTGAAACCATTGCGCTTTTGAAATCAAAGCAGTGCCACTGAACTAACAGACGCTCCCTAAGCCTTGTTCTCTGGATGGACTCCCTTTGGTAGCAATAAGGGGCAGTAACAAACTGAGCCTCTGTCCCATATGGCTGTGATAAACACATCCAAAACACATTACCAATCTCAGACTGAGGCTCGGAGGCCTGAGGCTGCAGCAAAAGAAAACCAAGGTTGACAGGCACAAGTGTAAGAACCTGATATTCCTTAAATGAGAAAAGGCTGGCTGCCTGTTCCTTCACCACTGAACATAGTAAATGCATTATCTGAGCTTCCTGCCATTTTTCAAACCTGGGACTCTCTAATGATATCTGTTTGGTCAACTCTAAACTACATTTGTCAAAAGTAAAAAAGAATGATCTAATTTACACAATCTTGAGTGTTCCTTTCCTTTGCCATAAATTGTTGGGAGTTTTAAATTTTGAAAAATTTTCTAAAGTATCTGATTATGTAAGAACGTTTCTATCTTTCTAAATGCACATTTTATTAGTTCCCTCACCTCCTCAAAAACTTCCCAGAGCCTCCCATTACCTGAAGGCCAAAGTCCAAACTTCTTCACGAGGACTCTGAGGCCCTAATTGTTTTGCCCCATTTCTCTCCATCTTGCCTAAGAACTCTATGCCTCACACTCCTTTTCATTTGCCTTTACTGACACAAGGCGTACACTTTCCACCTCTGGGCTTCTGTACACATACTGATCCTTCTGCTAAGAACTATCTATCCTCCAAGACTTGACTCAAACATTAACTCTCTGTGAAGACTTTATCTTTTCTTAGAATGGTATTAATCACTCCTTTCTCCACTTTCTCAACATTTTAAATCAGTATCTACAATAAATACCTAGTATGCTGTACTGTACTTATTTACTTATGTGTCTGTCTCCCCACTAGACTAAGGGCTCCTCCAGGGTAGAAATGAGATCTACTGCAGTTTCTCTGGTGCCAGTCTAGTCCCTGGCTCACATAAGATAGGCAACATTAGTTTGTTGGATGAATGAAAATTGAGACTCAGTTCCTACTCAAAGGACCAGGATCTCTGATTTAACCACTACAAGAAAAGGATCAGCCGAAACCTGTTTGGCTCAGTGGATAGAGCATCGGCTTGGAGACTGAAGGGTCCCGGGTTCGATTGCGGTCAAGGGCATGTACCTTGGTTGCGGGCATATCCCCAGTAGGGGGTGTGCAAGAGGCAGCTGATCGATGACTGACTCTCATCGATGTTTCTAACTCTCTCTCCCTTCCTCTCTGTACAAAATCAATAAAATATATTATAGAAAGAAAAAAAAAAAAAAAGGATCAATAAGCTGCTGAAGCAGACTCTAACAGTATTTAATTTCCCAAACTTCCTATAGCAACCAAAGACATTTAGGAGACATACTCATATCTAGATTTACAGATAGCTCAGAAGTCTAAGAACTTTTCCACCCCATTGCAGGAGCTGAGCATTTCCCTTATAATAGGCTGGAGCTCCGAAGTGCTTCTTAGTGGGTGGGTCGGCATGGATGGGTATCTGCAAGCCTCCTTTCCTTCAGCAAGCACTCAGAATAGCTCCATTAGTGTTCATGGAAATTCTGCGCATGCATCAAGGAAAACACAGCCACAAATAACACGGTCTACTTTCTAAATCTCCAAAGCACATCTCTGCAATCATCTTACTTTCTAATCATCACCACTGAAACCTTTCAGCCACAGAGCAATTTGTTTTCAACTTACTCTGGGTCCTTAAGTTAGCAGAACTTTTTGGTTGCTTATAAATGAAGTTTCCGACTCCCAGTCTCTCTCCCTGCTCCAGCTTCTTCTTCCACAGCCTAACAAATATTAACCAGCTCCTGCTTAGAATCAGTCCACACGCCTTCACTTGTTGTTCAGGACCCTTCATATCTGGTCCTGGTAATTGCCTTCCTCTACGGCCTCATTTCCATCTGCTTTTCACCCTGCTTTCCTCTACTCAAGCCACACCAATCACCTTCCAGATATTTCACAGGTCTGAGTCTTTCCATAGTTTGCTTTCTCAGTCAGGCATATGCCTCAACTACACAATTAACCACTTCTGCCCTTTAAGACTGCACACAGGTATCACCACCTCCAGGAAGTATTACCTGATTGGATTAGATGCCTTTCCTGTACAACACAAGTAATCATTCAATTATTCAATAGTTATGAAGACCTAGTTGGTACCAGGTGCTGAAAATACAACAGGGAACAAAACAAAGACTCTGCTTTCATGAAGCTTAAATTCAATGAAATTTATTGGGATAACACTGGTTACTAACATTCTATAAGTTGCAGGTGTACAATTCTCTGTCATCTGTATACTGCGTTGTGTGCTTACCAGCCAACATCCAGTCTGCTCCCATCACCATGCATCTGACCCCTTTATCTTCTTTCTCTTCCCCCCGCCCTCCCTCCACCTTCGGTAACCACCATGTTGTTGTGTCCATGAGTTTGCGTTACCTTTAGTGGGGAGATAGAATCAAAAGCACAACCACAGAACATGTGGATATGTATAGAACAATACATAAGAGATATTATGGTAGGGGAAGCATAGGGAACTAGGTAGAGAGTAGCATTTTAGAGAAGAAAATAGCATGTGAATGCTTTGACGGGAGTGACATGATGAGATTTCCAGTTCTGATATGCCACTTTGTTTCTAGGGCAGGGTGATAAATTTGAAGAGGTTAGAACTGGGTGCAAAGGGACCAGCTAGGAAGTCATGTAGCCATGTGGGCAACAGAGGATGAAGCCCTAAAGTGGTACTAGAGATGGAGAAGAGGCAAGAGATTCTAAATATATCAGATGAGTAAAGCCGTTAGGCCCTGGTTGGGTAAGGAACTCTGGCTTCTGGCAAGAATGCCCGGGCTACCAGGACTGCCAAGTGAGGAAAGGCATGTTACAGCTGAGAAGCCCATGAGGCATCTTGGATGATGTATCTGAAACTGAGGGACCATGTACGGTCTGAAGATAGAAATTGGAGTGTCATCTGCATGAAACCGTAAGAGAGTGAATGAAATGAACCTGGGAGACTGGAGCCAATCAAACAGACCAGGGTTTTGAACCTTAGCTCTGCCTTTCACTATCTGTGTGACCCTGAGTAAGTTACTAAGCCATTCTGGGACTCACTTTTCTGATCTTTAATTGCATATTATTATTAAAATGTCTATCACAGTGCTGAGTGCCTGGTGGGTGCTTAATTATGATTCCAGCTTCAGTACTTCCTAGCAGTGGGAAATGGAACAAGATACCTCTGTCTGGTGAGCCTCAGGGTCTCATCTCAGTTCCTGCTAGGTAGGTGCTCAATAAATAATTGCTGAATAAATGAAGAAATATAAAAAACTGAAACAATATCTACTAACACAACAGATGAGAGGATTAAACAGGCAACATTAATCCCTTCCTTTCTGTCCTTGCTTTTTTAACCCATCCCCTCTTTTTTTGTATTTTAAATCTCTCCTTTGTTTTATTAGCTCCTTCTTTTTAGATTACAAACATGCTCCAGTCTCCCCTAACCTCAAAAACCCTTTCTCGAGCCTTACTATTTCTTTAAATTCTTTGCAGTTATTTTTCATTTTCATCAACTATACTTTTTCTCAACCCAAAACACTTTTCAATGAACAAGCCATATCTTTTGTTTTAGGGGGGGGGGAAGTCTCAGTTTATTATTATTTATAAAAAAGCAAATATCATTTACATAATTGTTTCAAGAGGTCTATATAAAGGTATTTTATTTTAAAATATAGATGGATGGATTTTTTTCACTACAGTAATTCATTTCAAGAGGAATTTCATTATGTATCTTCTACAGAACTTTAAAATGAGAGTCACATATTCAAATAAGCCTGAGTGTGGGGATGCTACAGGCCAGTTCTTCATTAGGAGACTCAGCATGGGGCTCCGAAGACCCACACAGAAGGTCTTCCAGGGAGAGCTGAAACATTCAGATAAGTGAGCTCTGGAAAGAAGGGGCAGTGGGCTGGCTCTGGCAGGCTCACCCCTGGGGTAGAGCAAAGAGAACAGACAGGGGAGTTCTGAGAGGCACCAGAGCCATCTAAACTCAGGGGGATGGAACCGTGTGAGCGGCAGCAGTAATTGAGTTTCAGTTACCTGCGGGGTGGCGAAATAAAGTAGTAACTTCATCTGCCTGACGTGGGGGAAGTTTAGAGGTGTCCCCGGCATACTCACGGTGAAATCCGCCACCCTTCACTGGGTTGGGTGATGGCAACCTTACAGCGCTTCCTAGTGACAGCCGGTGCGCGTCCCGTTAGGCAGCACCAGCGCACGGCAGCTAATGAAGCGTTTCCTGCAGGCCTGTCTCCCAGGGCGCTCTGCATCCTCTGTCTGAAGGAATGGCACCATGGGAAAATGCAGCGCAGCCAGCACCAGCCATCACCCAAACTCAAAAGAGTCTTTGAATAGCAGAGAGGGGCACGTTTTCTTCTCTGCCCAGCCCAGCGTTGGAACCGTCCTCGGGTCATTTTTTGTGGGTCTGTACAAACGTGCCGACCGGCAGCGAGCCGTCCTTCACCCGGGCCCGGATTTCAGCTCGGTGCTTTAATGTGAAGACCAGGGCTCTCACCGTCCGCCGGTAGGGCCCATTAATGAGGCGGGAGCAGAGATGAAACGTTTCCCGCTCAATATTTTCAACCAGTAGGTGATCCATCTAGAAAACAGCAAAATTATCAAATTAGGGCCTTGCAACGCATAAGAATTAAAAACAAGAGAGGCTGAAGCACTGTGCTCAGAGGCTTCCATTAATCAACCGAAACTCAAGGACATCTACTTCCTGTCACAAGAGAAACAGGAAGAGCAAATTAATTCCACCCTGGCAATTAAGGAACAAGGCCATGTGCTTTGTGACAGGGACCTCACTCACAACCCCTGCCGGGTGGTAATATTTGCCATTATAACAGGAAACTGGCCTGAACTAAGCAACGGTACCGGGCCCTGTACTTTACCAACCAGGAAACAAAGACCAAGGATAATAAATCAGTGTAACAGTTTATACTTTTGGGGGGTTTGTTTTAAAAGTGCCTTTTAACCCTTTAGTGCATCTCAGAAACACTGAATCTGGATCTTAATATGTGTGTAGATCACTTTTCACATTTAATGCTCACAACTCCTATTATCTCGTTTTGCAGATGAGGAAATGGGTTCAAAGGTAAAGAAAGGTTCAAGGTCTTACAACTACTAAGAGGCGGAGCTGGGCCCTAACCGGTTTGGCTCAGTGGATAGAGCGTCGGCCTGCAGACTCAAGGGTCCCAGGTTCGATTCCGGTCAAGGGCATGTGCCTTGGTTGCGGGCGCATCCTTAGTAGGGGGTGTGCAGGAGGCAGCTGATCGATATTTCTCTCTCACTGATGTTTCTAACTCTCTATCCCTTGCCCTTCCTCTCTGTAAAAAATCAATAAAATATATTAAAAAAAAAAAAAAAAAAAAAAGAGGCAGAGCTGGGACTCTGACCTGGAGCCCCAACTCCAAAGTTCATGTTTCTGCCCTTTCACTGCGCTGACTGTCCCCTCAACATTCTAACTGCCCAGGAGAGTTTGAGGAGATGCTTGCAGGGTCAGTAAACATAGCAGACTGAGGGGATGGGACTTGTAGCAATTCCAGGATGGTGTGGCTCAGGCCCAAGTCCTCCTAGGGTGGCAGACATAATCAAAGTAGGACAGGTCTGGGACTCGGTCCACACGGTCTGAATCCAAGCCAGGTTGGGCTGCTGGTCAGGGGGCTCCTCAGCCCCACCTTCCTTTCCAGGCCCATCCCCTCTCATCCTGAGCACCTGCTAAGCTGCTTTCACACACCTCTATCTGCTACATAGATACTTGTTCCCTCAAGGTATACTTTCCCTAGAAAATACATTCTTATTTGTATGTCAAAGCTTAGCTACAAAGCAAAATACAAGAAAGCAAACTCTAGCTCAGAGGACTGACAGTTCTTTGGGCTGCCACATGTCCTGAGTTCCCCTTAGAATAATAATTATCACAATATACTACAATTATCCATTTTTTGGATAGTGAGTTCCTAGAATACAGTGAGTTCCTTGAATACAGGACACAAATTTTTCTCTCTTACTTGCTTTCCCCCATTCATTCAAATATTTATTCAGCACTTACTATGTGCTGGGCTCTGTGCTTGGGGAGAGGAAACAGCAGTGAATAAGGCTGGCACTGTCTGTGATTCCATGGAGAGCACAGCAGTAAGAAGCAGTGACCATGGATTATAAGTGCGCCGAGTGCTGGGGAAGAGGACAGGGATACATGCTGGGTGCAGAGCTACAGCAAAGGGACCCAATCCCAGAGGGCGGTGCCTAGCTTTGAAAGGAAATGCTGTTTAACTTGAGACTTGAAGAATGAATAGGGTCTGGCTAGGTAAAGTAGGCACGTGCTTTGCAATAAGTTCACTGATCTGTACGTATATCTCTTGTGTACTTTTGCTGGATTTTATTTATTTTTATTATTTTTTTTGGTTAATCCTCACCCCAGGATATTTTTTCCATTAATTTCTAGACAGAATGAAAGGAAGGGAGGGAAGAGGAGAGAGAGAGAGAGAGAGAGAGAGAGAGAGAGAGAGAGAGAGAGAGAGGGAGGGAGAGAGAGAGAGAGATATGAAAGAGAGAAACATTGGTCAGTTGCCTCTTATACGCACTCTGACTGAGAAGCAAGCCTGCAACCTGGGTATGTGCCCAGGAATCGAACCCACGATCTTTTGGTGTCTGGGACAACACTCCAGCCAAACCACACTGGCCAGGGCTATACACTATTTAAAAAGAAAAGTTTAAGAAAAAAGTGTACCAAAAATAGTCACCTGACACTTGATAAAATACGCCAATATAAGGAATAGACAGACCGAAACAAACAGAAAAAAGAAGCTTGGAAGAAATAAGGGCCGCAGGGAGAATAGGACTGGGGGGGGGGGGGGGGAGGCGGGGGGGCGGGGAGACACACAGAAAATGAATATGTAGGCCCAGACATCTGCTGAGGTACAGCAGACAAAAGACCTTCCGGCAAGTTTGAGGTCCTGATGACTGACTGGCTGGCTGTGCTAGGGTGAGGGGACCTGGCTGGGAGCCGTGGCTCTCCAGAACCCAGACATCTGGAGTTTTTCATGGCCTCCTGGGTGGGCAGTGAACGGGCCCCTGGCCTGAGGCAGCCCTGCAAGCAGGTTGCTTTAGAAGGGCTGGAAGGGTGGCCAGTTGTCTGGCCAGCATTATTCCAGCAACACTTGCCAGAGAGGCTCCTCAATCCAGTGCGAGGATGATTAGTCACTGTTTAGAGATTCACTTATAATATTTTAACAGTCAAGAAAAAGGTGGGTTTTTTTTTTTTTTGAGGGGAATGGTTGTTTGGGCCTTTGCAAAACAGGCCATGGCCATTCCACTGAAATATAGTATATATTTAAAAAAAGAACTCTAGCCGAAGCTGGTTTGGCTCAGTGGTAGAGCGTCAGTCTGCGGACTGAAGGGTCCCAGGTTCGATTCCGGTCAAGGGCATGTACATTGGTTGCGGGCACATCCGCGGTAGGGGGTGTGCAAGAGGCAGCTGGTCGATGTTTCTCTCTCATCGACGTTTCTAGCTCTCTCTTTCTCTCCCTTCCATCTCTCCGTGAAATATCAATAAAATAGATATATTTAAAAATAATAATAATAATAAAAATTAAAAAAAGAACTCTGACAGTGCCTTGGAATATGCATAATTGGATACTCATACATACTTTATTTAGCAAATAGTTACCAAGTTGCTACCCTGAATCTGCCCTGATCTGAATATTAGGGAGACTGAGCAGAAAAGGCTTGCCCCTGCCATCCAGGAATCACAGTCTAGAAAGGCGACTGCGTGTACACAGAAAACCACTGGGCAGTGGAATCGGTGTTCTACCAACAATGTGAAGGGAAAAGGGAGCAAGCATGTAATAATTCTCATTCATGCCTTATTAAATGAAGGCCAATCAGAATGAAGAAATAAAGAACACTGGTGATATTAAAATGTAAATTATACAGAATAATTCATCATATGCCTTTTTGTATAAAAGTTCATTGCACAAAGTGAATGAATTTAAAACTGCCCTTGGAAAATCCAAAACAACCCAAATTGTTGAGTCCTTTCCAGTGGGTTCTAGCCTGGTGATTTAGGTAAGCCCTTTTGGGACTTAGCTAAAGGACCACGGTCTCACTGATATCTTGAGAAGAGTGTTTTGCTGTGAAATGCACCTGTAGAAATGGGAATAGGAACGCTCTAAGAAACCTAGGCATTCATTTTGGGACCACATCCCTTCTCTGTGTCTTATGATCTTCCTGATCTCCTCCCCATAGATTTTTGCTCCTCTCCATTTGCCTTTCTCACTACTAATTCTAACTGCCTTATTCTCTCCCCATATTCTACACATTTCTACCCACGGCTTCTGCTTCCTCATAATTCCTCCGACATCTGCCAACACTCCCACTGTTGTTTTCTTAGCATTTCCTAGTTCACATGTCTCAGAGACAGAGAATCTGATTTACCTTCCCCATCTATTTGTACCTGTGAGTTATTCAGTTGTCCAATTCTGGACAAATTGGTTATAGCTGGGAGAAGATATAAAACATGACCACCTAGAATAAATTATGACCACCTAGAGTAGAGCTTTTTCATCAAGGATTCTGGCCTCAGTGGGAAATGGTGCCATAGTCAATTAGTGATGTCTGCCACATCTGTAAGCCCTTTGAAAGTAAGGGAACAAGGTCTTTTTTATGTGTATATCTCAAATGCAGAACTTCCCACGATGTACTGTAACTGTTTGTCTCAGAAGCCTGTAAGCCCTTTTGGGGATGATAGTGTGCTGGATCCATTTCTAAATTCCCCATGCCTAGCATAGATACAAGCACATGGTAAGGGCTCAGTAAATATTCATTAAATGAATGTCCTCCCCCTACCCCCATGTAACCTCCCTCCTGTCCTGCTCTTTCAATAACATAGCAAATAAGATAGGAAATATAATGTTTCTATTTTATATGTATTTTCAAGTTAGCAAAATCCTCCCCCTCTTGAAAAAGGCCAATTCAATTGCCATCTCTTCCATAAAACCTTCCCAGATTCCCCTATCAGATTTCATATACTGACCTTTGTGTGTCTGCACCATTGGCTTGTACCCATTTCAGATATATTTCATCTTGCCTTCTATTAGTCATTTACAGGCTCTCAGCCAGGAGACTGTAAGCTTTCTTAAGATAGGGAATGCAACTCACTTATGTTTGTATTCTCCCTGACACTAGTAGTAGTAGTGCTAAACATTTGTTGAATTGAATATCCACTGGAAGCAAACTTTGTATGAGTTTTAGCACACAGAGCATGATTGGGTTTGTACCTATCTAACCACACTCCTTTTTGGCCACTTAAATACATTTATGAAAGAGCTGGTCAAAGCCAGAGGTGCAGTCTGAGGCCATTAAACAAAGAAAAAACTAACAGTCCCATATGGGGACGTACCCCTGACCTGGATCTCATTAGCACCATCTGACAACCAACTGGGCCAACCAGCCAGTGTTTCATAACTCCTAATGATACAGGCTCACTTTGAGAATCAGGTTCATTTTTTTTAATGACATAATAGGAAAATGATCACAGGCCATGAGGTAGGAAGGAGAGTGGATAATGAGGAAGGGGAAGTAAGAGAATGACACCACAGGGGATGTTCATATGAGGAAAGATCTAAAATGCAGGGAAGAACAAAGAAGATCCGGAAGGGAGAAAGTAAAGGGGAATGGAGCCAGGGTCTCAACAATGGAGATTTTATTCATCTATTCCATTATTCCAAGAACAAGGAAACAATCTATGAATCTGGGAAGCAAGATCTATACAGTAATAAAGTAATTACTTTAATACAGTAATACAGTAATAAAGAGATACATTTGGCTGTGTGTGTATATTCCTCAACTTTGGCTTTCACTACAAAAGAATATAACCAAAACAAATAACATGAAAACATTTATTTTCTACAAAAAAATGTAATACTAGGATCAAATTGTAAAGGCTTTTTAGTCACTGGGCCAATAATTTATCCAATGGTTTACTACTGCTTGATAAAGTATATTTGTGGAGATTGGATGTCTGATTTGAATGCACTCAACATTGGTTACTGTCAAAGACCAAATACTGAATTAGATTGGTCACTTATTTACCCTAATATAGTAATGTTTCAGATGATAATGGGTGCTAAGAGTTAACTTTTATGCAAAAATGTTTATAATTCTTAAACATATCAAACTGATCAAATTATTATCAAATACTGTTTATGCAAAAAAACCCAGATTGATTCTTTTTTTTTTTTTGGCCAAGGAAGAAAGAAAGATGCATACTTTTATTATTATTATTATTTTAAATATATATATATATTATTGATTTTTTACAGAGAGGAAGGGAGAGGGATAGAGAGCTAGAAACATTGATGAGAGAGAAACATTGACCAGCTGACGCTTTATCCACTGAGCCAAACCAATTTCGGCAAGATGTATACTTTTAATTTTTAAAATTTACTCTTTGGGAACAAAACCTCTCAACTATGCTTAATCTGATATTTTTTCCAATTATGTTGGAAAGCACTAACGAATGTATCACTTTTTTAACTTTGAAACACTTGAGTGCTTACCACTTGATGTGCCATTTAAAGGATAATTAATGGATAAACTAAAAGGATAATTATTATGGAGTTTAATATAGTAGGCAAACTGCTCATTAATCCTTACAAGCATTGCTTAGTTATTATCATTTACTTAAAAAGATACCACAGGGAACTGGAATTTACCACCACATTAACTACATATTATATAACCATACTCTATGATTCTGTAATAATTTTGATTTAAAAAATAAACTTTATTTAAAATATCAAATAGCAAGTCTTGTTGGCTAATCAATAATATTCTGGAAAGTTATTTATTTAGACTTACAACCTTCATATTTTTTTCTTTCTTCCAAGGGCTTAATATTCATATTAAAGCTTCCTTTAGGAAAAGAAAAGCAAACTTAACAGCATAGCAATTTGCTGAGCTATCAAGTAACACTGAAAATTATAAAAATGAAAAAATAACCATATATAGAAAAGAATATACAAAATTATACTGATATTGATCAAGTTGAAAAAGACAACATAAATGTAAATTATTGTTCATTTTCTGCAATGTTGTTTAAATAATCAATAAAACTATCTTATGGAACATTTGGCATATAATGGCTCTTAATAATCTGGGAAAATCATATTATAGCATTCATTTAAAAAGTTATAACAACTTACCAAACAGAAAATGCACCAAAATGCTAACAAGATTATATCTGGGTGGTAAGTTCAACGAACTTACCACCCAGATATAATAGGGATACCCTAAAAGAAATTTTGATAGGGATACCCTAAAAAGGAGAAAATATATAAATGTTATATGTCTGATTTTTCCAGAGTATAAATTGACATATAAAATTTGTTTGATGATGGTGATTAGTAATATTGTTAATGAGCAAAAATCCTTCTAGCATGTGTACCTCAAGCCTATTGTCACCTGAACTGTTGCCTATGAAGATGTAGGAGTTAGGTCTAGCCAACTGACTATATGCTTTAGAATGTGGACAAAAAAAAGAGGGGTCAGAATATTTTCAATAGACAGCTATTTCTTTTGCCATTGATATTTCCTAACAGAGTCCATCCCAGAATTTTTGCTTCAGGGGGAAGAGAACAAATTTTAAATGGAAGGAGTCCACCAAGCCAGCATGGCTCAGCAGTTGAGTGTTGACCTACGAACCAGGAGGTCAAGGTTCGATTCCTAGTCAGCGCACAAGCCCAGGTTGCAGGCTCGATCCCCAGTGGAGGGTATGTAGGAGGCAGTGAATGACGACTCTCTCTCATCATTAATATTTTTATCTTTCTCTTCCTCTCCCTTCCTCTCTGAAATTAATAAATATATATTTAATAAAAATAAAATAAATGGAAGGAGCCAACATTCACTAAGTGACTTGTAATTACCAGGCACTATACTATTCTTTTGTATATAAAGAGTCCATTTACTCTTTCCAATAACCTTAGATGGTAGGAACAATAATCATTTTACACTTAAAAAAAATCAAGAAAAGATTTGCCTAAGGTGCCACAGCTAATACAGCACGTACTAGAGCCAGGGTTTTACTTCAGGTTTGCTAGTTTCTTTCTACAACACCGTCTCCCAGAATGATTACAAATCCAGAACCCTTAAAGAAAAAAACGGAATAAAGCCACAGCACTAACACTATGAAAGTTCATTTTGAATATGTGAGGCTCATTTAACCAAGAGCTCCTAATAATTACATTATAACCAGATATTACCTCTAATTCCAGCGCTTCTGAGAGTAATTTCTGGGCGTTTTTCCTAAGCGCCTCGGTTTTGGAATCACTTCGAACTTCAATAGAAGGTCTATTTGCATGTTTCTCAATGAAAGTTCTCCACTCAGTGTAAACTTCTTTGGCAAGACAAGCCACTTCTGAATCTGAGTGTTGACGCATCTTATTCACCGTGTGACCTGGAGCAAGAGAAGAGAAACCAAAGGAAAGGTAGTTCTGTCTTCAGAAAAGTACAGGACTAGATGGACTGATGTGTGTATGGCACTTAGAAAGTCGTTCACACTCCTAAGGATGTTAAGGCTCTGTGCAAATGAAGACAATTTCTCAAAGGCTGGGTTTACAAGATAATCACTGAGGGAGAATCACTGGACTAGCCAATGTCTTAAGTCATAAAATAGAAACACGACCAAAAGATACTTAAAACAAAACAACTAAGGTACCAACTCCTTAATCTAAAAATTGCAAGAAAGTGAATTAAGCATTTTTCTTATCTTTTGGTACATGTTATATTTCAGAACAACCAAATAGCTTTAGCTATTGAGGAAATGTTTTTTGTTTTTGCTGTTGTTGTTAGTCCTCACCCAAGGATATTTTCCACTGAATTTTTAAAGAGTGAATGGGAGGGGGAGAGTCAGAGAGAGAAACATCGATGTGAGAGAGACACATTGATTAGTTGCCTCCCACACATGCCCTGACTAGGATGGGGATTGAGCCTGCAACCAAGATACATGCCCTTGACCAGAATCAAATCCTCGATCAGTCCATGGGCTAACGTTTTATCTGCCGAGCCAAACTGGCTAGGGCAAGGAAATGTTCTTTATTCAGCTAATAAATGTAAAAAGATTGACAGAACTAAAAAAAAAAAAAAAAAATGGTAGCCCATGATGAAATAATTCACTCAGGTGCTAATCATCAGTAGATCAATTTATTCAATAAAAGGTTGATGGGGAAATTTATAATGGAGGAATGAGCTGTCATGACCTAACCACTGATCAATTAGCATCCCTGACTGTGGTACCATCAGACACAGGTAGCATTTCACAGCTCTATGAAATATTCTTGTCCCTCCTCCCAGAGAAAAGATGAACCAGAATCCATAGAATTATTCAATGCTAACTTCCAGTTTATAGAAAATATGAGAGGCAGAGGAATAGGTATAGTATGAGGAAACAGATTCAGACTGTGGCACATTCTGCAGGACAACAGACCTGGTTTCTATAATAGTCAATGGCATTTTTAAAAAAGGGGAACAAGGTCACAGACTGCTTTAGGTTAAAAGAGGCTTTTGAGTCCAAACTACCAAATGCAATACATTTGGAGCCCCTTAATGCCATCTTCTACAGTAGCCAGAAAGGTCTTTATTTAACTTTATCATTTTCTCTTTTAGGGACTTTTTTTTTTCTAAAACATAAACCTGACCATTTCACTGCTCTACTTAAATCATTCAATTCTATATCCAAATTCATGTCTTGTCACACAAGTCCCTTCGATCATCTGCCACCCTCCCACCTGCTTTCTAACTTCATTTCCAGCTACCATCCCTCTGTCATCTACACTCCAGCTACTTGTAGCTCCTAAAACACTTCAATATTTTGAAAATCTCTGCTTTTGAACATATTTTCCAATAAACATTCTGTCTGCCTGGAATACTCTTTCTTCCCCTTCATCTGGTTAATTTCCATTCTGTCTTTCAGACTCAGTACAGAAGTCCCTCCTCAGTACAGGAAGTCTTCTTTAACACTCCTAGGCTTGGTTGTATGTCTCACTGTGCTTCCTTAGCACCTTGGGTTTTTATCACAATAATTTTTTTTTTCCATGCTAAGAATATAGCTACTTTATTTTTTTTAAAATATATTTTATTGATTTTATACAGAGAGGAAGGGAGAGAGATAGTTAGAAACATCGATGTGGGAGAGTCATCGATCAGCTGCCTCTTGCACACCCCCTACTGGGGATATGCCTGCAACCAAGGTACATGCCCTTGACCGGAATCGAACCCGGGTCCTTTGAGTCCCCAAGCCGATGCTCTATCCATTGAGCCAAACCGGTTTCGGCTATCACAATAATTATTATAATTAGTTGCAATTAGACCAGTTATCTCTCTTGTCCACCAAAGAGAGCTCCTTGAGGGTAAGAACTGTGATTTGTTCATTTCTGTACCTCTAGCAGACAGCACCATGGCAGGATCAGAAGAGTGGGTTTGATAAATGTTGTGGAGAGACAAGCACACATGAAGAATAACATATTTTTACTAAAACATGTAAAACAAGGGGAAAACTACTATATTATAGGATGAAAAGTTAGTAAAACAATGCCAATACTGAAGCTAATTTGTAAATGTAATGTAATCTGTTTGTATTAGAAGACAACCAATATTTCTAGACTTATTATAGAAACTAGAGGCCCGGTGCATGAAATTTGTGCAAGGGAAAGGAGGTTACCTCAGCCCAGCCTGCATCCTCTTCAATTTGGGACCCCTCGGGGGATGTCTGACTGCTGGTTTAGATGGGACATCCCTCTCACAATCCAGGACCGCTGGCTCCTAATCGCTCACTTGCCTGCCTGATGGCCCTGAACCCCTCTGCCTGCCTGCCTGATCACTCCTAACTGCCTCTGCCTGCCTGTGGGCCTGACCATCCCTATCTTGTCCCCCTGCTGGCCTGATCGCCCCTAACCACCTCTGCCTTAACCCCCAGCCTAAGCCGCAATCTGGCATCCCTCTGCCAGAGGCAACCTGGCCTATCAGGAGAAGGTGCCACCCCCATCACCCTGCTGCTGCTGTCACTGGCAGCCACCATGGGCCTTGCAGCGTGCGCACAGCTGCCTGAGCCTCGGGCCTCGCAGTGGGGAGTGGCTGCCTGAGTCTTGGGTCGGCCCTCACAGTGGCAGCCGCCATCTGCCATGTGCTATGCGCCATCCGCCATTCACAACCCATCATCCACATCTTGCCTGAGGCTCAGGCAGCTGCTGTGGCTTTGTCTGGATGGGGAAGACATCTGCCCTAATTAGCATATTACCCTTTTATTAGTATAGATATAAATGGGTAAAAGTCTAAAATACTATTTTGAAAAAGAGGAATGATCCAGCAGGTAGCCTTATAAGATACTAGAGGCCCGATGTACAGGTAAGGTCCCTAGCCTGGCTGGAGATCAAGGCCAATAGGGGCCTTCTGGCTGCTGGCCAGGGCCTTCCTCTGATGGGATCAAACTCCCAGTTTCCTGGTCGAACTTCCAAGGGGACACTTTAAATATTAGCCTTTTATACATATAGAAGATTAGGACATATTATAAAACAACAATAGTTAAAATTATATAAACTAACACCAGAAAATAAACCTAATGAATAAAAAAATGAAGCACCAGGAATAGACAACATTATATACAAGAATTCAATATATACTAAAAAGAGTCATCATTGAACAAAAGGAAGCAGAAAAAGGATTTAAATTTGGGGAAATGGTCAAAACCATTTAAAAAGTTTATCAGCTAATGCCAACCATATAGCCTAACACTTAATGATTCCCTTACCCTCTACATTTGCTGAAGGCCCATCTCTGTATTGTAGGCACTAGTCATGCAGGGCTGAACAAGAATATGCTCCTGCTTTTAAGAGTCTGTGAAGGGCATCCTGCAGGTGAAAAAGAAATATAATTCTGAAGGGAAGACAAGACTCTTTAACTTCTCACTCCAAGCAATTATCTACCTAGAAATTTCATCTAGCCATTCCATTGCCCAGGGAAAGGAATACATCAACACTCATCACCAGGAGAGGAAGAGAAATATGCAGAACACTCAGAATAAATGTCTCCGGGTGCTTCCTAGCTGGCAATGCTTATGAGGTGTTCTAAAATACACACATCACTTAAAAGCTGGCTACTACTCAATACTTTTCTGAGCAGAGTTCTCTATATTCTTGAGATTATTCATTTAGCAAGCAAAATTTCGTTGGTCACTGTTATAGATGCTAAAAACACAAAGATAAATAAATCATTGGAAGACCTCAAGACCTAAATTCTGGTCATTTTAATACTTTTACAAAGCACCTTCTTTATGCTTGGTACTGATGGTACAGAGATGGAAAAGACCCAGTCCCTGGAATTAAACCTACACTCACCTTGCACCAAGGTGTGCAAAGAAGATATATGTACAAAAATATTAATTCCAGCACCGTTTGTGATAGTGAAAAGCTAAAACAACCTAGAAGCTCATCATTAAAGATTCACTTGGTTAAATAAATTATTAAACCATTCAAACAATAAATATTTTGCAAATATTAATAGCTCAATATATAGTAACACAGAAAGATGATTAATTTATTCAGTTAAGTGGAAAAAACAGGTTTTCAGAAGAATATGCACTGTATGAGCCAGTATTTTTTTTAATTACACTTGTGTACACATATGTGTTTATTTGCAGAGGGAAAAGTCTAAAAGAATTGACAATGAAATTATTAGTGAGTCTCTTCTGAGTGGTGGGACTGGGTGTGCTTATGCAGTCCAGCTCACAATCCTGTGGGTGGGCTCAACCTGTAAGCAATCCTAACAGTGCGAGCTGTGCTGTAATAGAGGTGCATTTAGGCTGCTTTAGAACAGAGATCCTTCTATCTGCTCCCAACCTTATCCTCTTCTCTCCCCAAGAAAGGCACTATTGATCCAGCTTTATATATGAGAACTAATCTCACAGAGTTCTCTATTTGTCGAACCAATGGACCTTCTCCAAGCTCATGGACTTGATCCTTCAATAGCATCTGATACTGTTTTCTTCATTCTGAAATATTCTCTTCCACTGCTTTTTGAGACACTACCTGTAACTGGTTCTCTTCTTCCTTCTCGTTTCTCCACCTGCCTTCCCACCCAGTCCTATGGTCCAATTACTATACGCAAGCAGATGACTACCAAATAGGTATCTCTAGCCCAAATTCCAGTTGCCTATTGGACATCTCTACATGCTTATTTTGCAAGCACTTCTAATTCAACATTTCAAAAATGGAAATCGTTATCATCATCCTCAGTCCCTCACACAATGGCACCACCATTCACCCATCATATTAGGCTCCTTAACATCTATTATATCTTTCCCTTTTCCTGCTCAGCTCCCTCTTCATCCTCACCGCTGCCCTGATTCACATCCTCATCACCTCTCTACAGGTCTACTGCAAAGATTTATTAACCGCCGGAACT